GTCGATGGATGCAGAATTAAAAGCAACACCTTTCGTTTGTTGTTATTCTAATTCGATCCCTTATATTTTCCTTGATTAGATGGTCTATGGCAGCTCTAAAATTTTCACGTCCTTTTTTCAAGTGCATTCTAAAGCTCTGAAGATTATGAACATTTGGAGGACGCCAAAAAAAATAAAAGAAAAACAACATTATATGAGATTAGGTCTTGGATTGCTTATCTGTTGTCTCACCCGTCAAGCAAATTTTTAGTTATTATATGCATATTTGTCAAGTTGTTCGTTAAAGTGCCACTATAGGCGCGGATCTGGACTGGAGAAGAAATTATCAAAAACAGAGGCTTTCACGATGTCACAATATCATCGTCTATTGTTAACAGATTTCAACGTATTTAAAAAACATGTACAATAAATTCTTTAGAGTTTCATTGAAGAAAGGCAAAAAAGTTACTCCGCTTGCCTTTTAGGCGATATTTCAAAAGCTTTTCCAAAGGCATGACAAAAATCATACACAAGAAACCGTTTTATTAAAAAATTTATTCACATATTTCTTATGTACGTGAACAAACACGCGCAAAAACAGCCTATTTTCAGCGAGCACTTTACACATAGTTAAGTATAGATATATGTGCGAATGTATATGTATAGATGTATATTTATATGTATATATAAATGCTCATTTATACACATATCTATTTTGTTTAGCATAAATATCAATTTTATTGCTTCTTGCACAACACTGCTAATTTTTTTCTTCTTTCTTTGCTTTTTTTTGCTTATTTTCAATTTACTATTTATGTATTTAAATATGTGTGCGTGATATATGTGTCTATGGTTTTTTTGTGTAATTTCTATTTAGATTCTCGAAAATGAAATAATTTTCTGTTTTCAGCTATTTTGGATTTGTGACGTGCAGCAATAGCAATAGCGGCAGCAGCACAACATTTTCTTATATATACTTATATATGTATATCTCTGTATATATGGATATAATTCTCTATATTCCATTAAATTTGTAGCACATTCCAAAAAGAAAATGAAGTTTAGATTTTTCTTATGTTTTTTCCCTTACACGCAAAAAATAGTCAGTCAGTCAGTCAGATACGCAAAAGACCACGGATTCCACACACACAAAATTAGCGAATGTAATAAGAATTCCAAAATGATGACTGATTAAGAGGCCGACTAAAGGAGCAGAGCGCGCACCCGAAACAAAGCTGTAATTTTTTTTGTTCTTAATTTTCCTTTTTTGTTTTTTATTCAATTTTTATTTAGAAACTATTTTTTTTTTTTAAACACACAAATGTGGCAAATATTTATTACATTCACATATGTATATACTTGAATATGCATGTAAAAATGTTGATCCACATATATATGTAAAGAGAGGAAGAGCGACAGATAGAGAGGAAGAGAGGCAATAAAATCTTTTTACAAATGTATCGAAATGTATTCACGCACGCATATTCATGTAAAAGCAAATTTTTAAAAGCATCTAAGTTACTTTACCTTTTCTTTAAGATTTGCTTTTCTCACTTTTCAATTAATAATGAAAACAATCACTTATTTGCTTTTAATAAACTTTTTGAAATAATTCTTTTCAATTTTTCATTTATACTCTTCTATTATCTGTATTTATTCTCTGAAGTTTCAACCAAATTCAGCCAAACATTCAGCCTTTACCGTTCACTAGTTATGAATATCTGCGAATGATCTTTAATTTCCATAGATGAACGATTCGTTGCATTTTTGGCATGTGAAGAAAAACAAAAATTCCTTAGCAAAAAACGCTTAAATTTACTTGAGATTGTTGTTACTTTTTAAAAATTATTATTTTGCTAACAAACAAGAAAGCGAAATTTTATTTTTCAGTGAGTTATGAACGTTTTTAAACGAATTTGATAAGTTTTTATACGCACTAACTGAACAGCAAACGTCCAACTCACGTCACGAAAGAGAGGAAACTGAACAGAATGCGAATAATTTGACAGCTAATTTGTGGGATAAATTTGCGTTCGTCGTTTCAGTGAATTTTCTTAGGATTTTCGTGGGCAAAGAGTAATCTGCGATGCATTGATTGAATATATTTTTACATTACAAATTATACAATTTAATAATTTAGTTCATTCAGAGATTGTTTAGGAAGAGGTTCAAATACAAAAGTCAAACTCTAAAATACTGCAATCAAATGCAAAATACCGTAAATCTCATCTGCTTTCAAAGTGTCACTTACAGCTGATAGAATTTCTTTATTAAAAGGGTCATGACGATTTTTTTATAAGAAGGAAGAAGTCTTTAGTGTTTATATACATATGTAAAATGGAAAGCGCAAAGAATCAACAAATAGAAACATTTCATCACGTTATTTCGCCAACAGACGGAATCCGTTAATCAACAACTCGAAAAACAAAGTCTGTGTGATGTCCTTAATTAATGAAGAAGATGTAAAGAAATTACAAAACTATATCTTATGTCCTGAATTATCGATCCATAACCCATTACCGGAAGTAATACCAAGTAAATATAATGAAATGCGTTTGCTAACCGTGCCAAGAGAATTTTAAAAAACCTGAGAATGCATCTGCAGTTTACAAAAATTACCGTTTAAAAGAAAAGATTTAAAAAAAAAGCTGATTCGAAACAAATTCAATACAATCTTGTTAACTTATATCAATATTCTGGCAAACGTAGTAAAATAAACGACTATTGCCATCGTTGAACGGATCGCAAAATTGAACGCTTCACTTTAGGGTTCCTTTTTCATTCGATTGTGTAACATTCAAACTTTATATATCTGAAGTCATCATTCGTGCCATGAGATTAATTTTTCAATTATTCCTTAGGATTTTCAAAGTAACAATGAAGGTTTCTCCTAGATTTGTGGATCGCCTGGATTTATTTTTTGCGAACGTTAGCTTAAAAATAATTGTTGTTATATATGGAATTCAATCTAATTGGTTTGATTCGCTAGAAGTCTGAAATGAATTTATAGGTGATATTGTGATACTAATAAGATTTTCTGGAAGCTGCCTACAAAACGACAAAACGGATTGATCCTCTGGGCAGAGCAACTAACATTACTTAAAAGTGTGATTGATCTATATATTGCAAATACAGAAGAGCGAACCGTCCTGGACATAGGAGGCTTCCAGCGCATGTCACTTAGCATATTGTTGACTTCATAAACAGTCGTTAGAAAAATTTCCTTAAATTTTCTATAGACGATTCTTTTATGAATTTTTTTTAGATTTCCTCAATCAAATGAACACTATTGACGGCGAAGACATGTCATCGTCATCGACAGAAGACCAATTAGTCAACAAGACGAAATCATAATTACCAGGGATTAATTCTCTTGTTTTGGTCTTCGTTTTCAGGAAACGTGATAAAGAACTGAGAACTGAGTATTCGTCGGCAGGAACTGCAATTAGAACATCGACATGCGCAATTTAAACAAGAATTGAATTTATGTTTATCGTGCAATAGTAAGTGACTTTTAAAACAAATTTCATTTTAAGAAATTAAAATAAATTATTTATAGAACTGGATAAAAGTTCAGCTGATGTGGCGGCAGATGCCATCCCTAATGAAATGTTAAATATCGTAGCCAAGCGAGCCGCTTTAACACCTTCAACCTTAGTGGTGAATTGTGCATCTGAACGTCTACGGTCACAAGAAATGGAAACTGTTGCTGATCAGATATAAATAAAATTAGTTAAGACTAAACTACAATTACGAGTTATTATTATTAATTTTGTTTTAAGTACAACTTTTACAAGTAAAATTGTAATTTTGCTCGAGTTTTGATATTGTTTCCAATAGAGATTTCTTTGATTCGGAGACTTCTGCATATTGGGGCCGTTGTGTCCGTTTTCGACCATATAATTTTACTTTTTTTAAGTGCGGCAGCGGAAGCAGCTTTTCAGTTAACAATAGAATTTTACGTTTAATGAGGTTTAACTTTTTGAAAACTCGTTAGAGGTATATTGAATTGTTTCGATTTGTTTTTTTTTTTTTTTTTAATAAAACATTAATAGAACTTATTATTTATTTTTACTATATACATAAAATTTTTCTAATTAGATTTGCCAAAAGTAAATCAAACTTCAGGACAAATTGAACACCTGCGTTTAGTCCACTAGACAGTGCTTTGCATTTAGACGGATCAAGGTCACTCGGCAATTTAAATTATAAGTAGATAAATTACTTCATTTGCATCCATCTAGATATTAATCCATCCATCACCATGAATGACGAAGGTTTGAAGCAGCTTCGATATTACCAGAGTTTAGTTGTTCTATGAGTCTGTAAATATATTTCCATTATATCCTTCTTTTTCAGCAATTCCATTTGTAGGTGGAATCAGCAGCTGTATTGGTAAAACGTCCACATTAAATATAAAATACCAGCTCAACAGGATCTTTCAGTTTCATCTATTCGAAGGGAACGAATGACTACAAATCACCAAATTATCAGCAGCAATTAATATTTTGACGTCGAAAGAGACGTTCCTCAAACGACTGTCAATAGACCATTATTAAATCCCCAGCAGCGTGGGCAAAAAAACTTTGACGAATTACAGTTTAGTGATCGCCATATAGGAAATCATCTCTTTATCGGCATCTGGGAAACTATACACTCTGCAACAAAAATCTCATTAAAGTCAAGGAGTAAGCTCTTCAGAAACAAAAAAAAACACAATGTTCATGCTAATTGCAGCTGACATGTCAGAAAAACGACATCATGACTAAGAAAATAAAGAAAATTTAGCGACCGATTTCCGTAAAGAAATTCAATAAATAGAACGACAAATTTTGACAATATCAATACTGATAGTTCCGATTATCTGAATAGAAAACCCGTAACGAATTACAAGAGCTAATTGATTAGGTAAATAAATAAAATGACAAATTACTGCTATTTTTTTTTTTTTGTTTAGCTTAGCTGTTCTTTGCATCTGGCCGCTTTTCATTTTCTCTATTGTTAATGGTCACCTTCCATATGTGATATTTGCATGCGATGTGAATTGTAAATTATATGTGAAATGAAAACAAGCAAGTGTTGGGTTATTTTGAAGTTGTGCAAATAATTTATAATAAGCTTAGGCTTACTTTAGTAATTTCTGAAAGGAATCTATATTATTATGGGTCAAGTAGCTTCGTTTGTGGTGCGAAAAATCAACCGTTTCAATGTGGAAAGTCGGGCGCATCGTGTTTTGGAGAGAGATAAGCCAACACCGGCTCCGAAATACGAATCCAATTTAAGAGACATGGAAAGAACGATGGAATGTAAGTAAAGAACAAAAAGGTGAAACGCCTTCCTTTCGACTCCTGACCAAATGTGATCATTTACAGTGGACCCTACATTTTTGGAGAAACTAAACAAGAAAGATTTAGAATTGGATCAAAGACTGAAAAATGTTTATGTAACCTCAAAGGATGTAAGCTAATTTTTTTTTCATGATTAAACTAAAACTGAAAAGAAAGCTAAAAATGTTTTCATATTTCATTTCAGAGTTATGATATCAATAAATCAAAGGCAGAGAAAGATATTCAAAGTCTACCTACTGATCGATCAACACCCGAAGATTTTCAGTATGGTTATCAGGAACCTAAAAAAGTAACAGTGGGCCGATGCACCTTAAAGCAAGCTTTAGAGTTCATCACCAACCACCAAAGTGATCCCGAGAAATGGACGGCTCAAAAAATTGCTGATGATTATAAAATGAAGCCGAAACTAATCGGTACTTTTTGCCAAGCATTTGTTTATTTTCTAAAAGTGACCAGTCAAGTTTTTCTTTTCTTACGGTTATAGAGCACATACTCCATCATTTTAAGACATACAATATATATGTACCTGATCAAAATAGCAAAGAGACCATCTTGACGCAAGCTAAACGAAAATTGCTAACGGATAACCCCAAAAACCAAAGTAGTTCTACCTAAGTAAAGCGCAAAAACAGTTAAACTCTTACTGTTCAGTAAAAGAAAATAGATAATTGGTGATTATATAAATGGGAGGCTTAAGATGAAACTTAAATGATAGCGCTGAGTCCTTTTTTTTGCTTTGATGTATTTCATTATTCAAACTTATGCTATCAAACTACTATATTACTATATTAGGCGGACAGTTATACAGATTTAAGCACTTATCTTCAGACACAGAGATTACTTTGTCACTGGTTGGATTATATTTAACGCCCCACACTTGATCGCAATGATCGGCAAACGTATGCATGCATTTACGTTCAGCAAAATCCCAAATTTTTACCGTCGCATCGCTAGAAGATGAGGCGAAATGCTTACCGTCTTCAGAAAATGAAACGCATAAAACCCAGGATGCATGACCAGAGAGAGTTCCAGCCATATCCGAATGTGTACTTTTATCAATAATAAATTAAATAATAATTTAATAAAATTTCACAACATATAGCAAAGAAACTTACACATCGTACAATTTCATATGCCCATCATCGGAGGCAGTGAGTAACATTTGCGAGTTAGGCGAAAAACATAAACTACGAACCGGCATTGCATGTCCTTCCAAGGTTTGGGCTACTTTACCAGCAGCGACGTCAAATATAGTTATTATGCCATCTATGGCCCCACTGGCAATATATTTGCCATCGGGACTCTAAATAAATTGCAATCTCTTTAAACCTATTGACAATTTGAACTACATACTTACATATGCTATACTTAAAGTAAATTTCCCATTCTGTGGATCTAATACTTGTTCAACATTTCCGGTATCCACATTGTACATAGAAATCTTGCCCTCATTTGATCCGGATATAACATACTTGTTGCACGGTGAAAATGCCACGGTCCACAAATCCACTGGTCCAAAAGATAACAAATGTTTTTGCTGTCCGGATTCAGAGTCCCAAAAACATAAACTCGAATCCAACGAACTACTGGCAATAGCTGATTTAACGCAAACCTTATAATCTACACATGTTCCATTTTATTCATTCATTCGGACACTCACTTTTGCCATCTTTACTAACCGCTATCGACACTACGCCTAAAGCGTGACCCTTCAATTGATGACGCAGTCGTAACGAATTGTCCTCTTTAATATCCCAAATTTTAACTAAATCATCTAAACCGCCGGTTACAATAAAATCTACAGGATCCGCTAAAGGTTTCGCGGTCTTTTGCGAATCCTTACCAGCATCGGGTTCTTTTTCTGTTTCCGAATCGTGACCACTAGTTGAAGTTAATGTTTCTGTTTGTGTGGTGCGCCGGCCCCAAGAGCAAGACCAAATGCCATCTTCATGAGCACATTCTTCTTTATAGAGTAACGAAAACTGTAAATATTTTACTAAAGTGAAGATTTGTAACGGCATGTTTGCGAAATATTTACCATAATTTTATAAAATTTGACTTAAACACAACTAAAGGAAATAAAATTTGTGTTATCTTCTTTTTCTTCTTTATTGTTACAAACATGTACAAACAGTTGACGACATGAGAATTGAGGTAATTTACCGTACACGAACATGACAACCGGATATAACAAGCCCTTAAAATAAGTTTTATGTTCTACATTTACATTTTTCGTAGTAATATTTTTTAATAACCAAATAGACATATGCGCTTGTATCAATTGTGTCATAGTTTCTAAAATTTGAAAAATGTTGTGTTTGTTGTTATAATACACTTTTGGAAAACTTTATAAGAATGAGTGGATAGCGTCCTACAAGGAATATCTTAAATTCATCATTCGCGAAATTTCACGCTGAATAAATATATTACAAAATGTAGGTAAATTGGGGATACAAGCTGGAGATTGATACTTGGTTTGATTCCCATTTCTTATTTTTACATCGGCAGTGAAGGAGAGGAGATTCTTCAGCGGTAATTTGAGATTTGGTTGTATTATGTATAGAACTTTTGCAGATATAGTGCTTTTTATAGAAAATAATATTTTTTTTATATTTCAACTGAAAACGATTTAAAGAAATATACGATACCAAGTTTGAAGGCGTATAAACAACAACAAACTGGCCGATCATGATATCAATTTGTTCCTGATGCACCTTGCGGATGGAATTAAGAGAGAAGATTATTCGATATAGATCAGGTAGGGTATAACGTGGTGTTTTTGTAGACTTTTTAAATATAGAGCTGGAGAATACTACGATAAATATACCTACTATTCCCTTCTATTCCTACTATTTGGGTATTTTTGTTATACGGGGTCACTATGCCAGAAAAGATTAGCATATTATTGACTTATGTAGATTTCAGATAGCCAATGGATGGATGACTGCATATTTTTCTAAGGTAATAAAAGCCATTCATGAAATGGGGAACGTATTTCACGTTCGCAGTTCTATACTACTCCCTTATCCGTAAGGAAAAGGAAAAAAAATGCTGCAATACAATGCCAGCAATGGTTAATAAGATGATGTCAGTTAGAAATCTCCTCACAACCACATTTTTACTTTTTTTTTTGTTTAAATCCGTTTTATTGTGTTGCTCATCTAGTGAGCCCATTAAAAAAAGGAAAAGAAAAAAAAGGGAAAGAAAAACACATTACTTCATCAAAAAATGTTTTTAACCAATAGGTAACACAATTAAATTTTCTTACGGAATTGAACTTTATTTATATATATACAATTTTAATTGACTTGTATTCTGGCAATCCTGGCAGCATCGCAAAAAGAACAAGGCATGAGCAAAGAGAGCACCATCTGAGTGCAGAAGTGTACACAAAGTAAATTTTACTCTGAGAAATTGCATTTTATTCTCAGTATTTTTGGACATCCATAAGAAATGTACAGCAAAGATAGCAAAGCAAATTTTGCTCTGAGAAATTGAATTTTATTCTCTGTATTTTTTGGGGAGCATCCGTAAGAAATGTACAGCAAAGCAAATTTTGCTCTGAGAAATTGAATTTTATTCTCTGTATTTTTTGGGGGGCATCCGTAACCATACAGCAAAACAGCAAGATAGATTTTACTTTTAATTTTCAAATCGAAATAAAAAAGTTTCAAACATTTTTTTAGTCATTGCTGAGATTTGTTGTGAGCGGAAGGAGTTTTTGATATTTTTCCTTTTTAAATTTTTAAGCAAAAGTTAGAAATTTCCTCGCACTCGCATAACGATATAATATAACTCGAAGAGAAAAAGCTATATGTAAATTTTTTTTATTTGTAAATTTGTAATAAAAACAAATATTCCTTTGCTAGTGTTTAAAAAAAAAAAAATTATAAAACATCAATTCAGACGACTTATACGCAAACGAATAATAGAACAAAGCCTGGTGCGCGTAAAAATCAATCAGAATGTAAGGCAAAAGCATAAAAAAATAATAGTTCTCTCAAAAATTAAAAAAAAAAATTCTATATATTTCAGTGTAGTATTAATTGAATGCAGAAAATTGTAAAGTTTAAAAAAATTTAAAAAAATTAAAAAAAGAAAAAAATTTAGAAATTCAATTTAGAAAAAAAAAAAATTTTGTGTGGAAGTGTGTGGACGAAAAGTCGCTCGTGAACTTCATTTATTCATTCAAGTAAAAGCAAAAGGAAATTGAATATTGTGCATGAATTAAATTCCAAAGAAAAATATTTGAAAATATTTTGGTAAAGTTAACGAAAAACAGAAGAGGAAAAGTTCAAGTGGTAGCGCACATTTGCACGAACGCAAGTCGACTTTTTTGATTGAACGATTTTCACGTTAAAAGCGAAAAACATGCTTTAACTACCCGTTTAAATTATGGATGCGGTAGTGAGGGAAGAGAGATGGGGGAATGGCTTCAGATTTAATAAGTAATAACAAACTTTGGCCATCCCGCTGTTTTCTGCTTTTGAGCTGTTTGTTTTATTCGAACAAAGGCAAAAGAAAGGATCTTTGTAAAAATTATTTCCTCTAAAATTTCTTTGTCTGCTAACAAAAAGAAAGAAAAAGTCCTCTGACGCAAACACTTACAAACGGAGATTCCTTTTAGCAGTTTTGCGCCCCAGTTGTTAGTCATTCCATTTTAAATGGAGTGTGCTTTTCTCTAATTTCACTCTCTCTCTCTCTCCCTCTCTTTCTCTGCTCCCCCTTTCAGCATGTTTACTCACGTCGTCTCGCTCTCCCGTTGCAGTCATTCCTTTTGACTTTTCACTCTTTGTTTTTATTTGTAATTTTTTTCTTCTCGTTTTGGAATTCATTAGTTCATAGTTTTCACAGTTAGTTCTTATAGCAAATTGGCATAACATTCGCATTGTGTTGTTATTATTTTTTTAAGTGAAGTTTATTCATCTGTTTGTTTTGTGTATGTTTGCGTTGCTTGAAGAGTTATTATCTCTTTTTTTTTATATTTTATTTTTTCACTCAAATCTCTTCTAGACACTGCTATTACTAAAAGCAGCAGCAACAACAACAATAACAACTAAAAGCAGCAGCGTAGTCCAAACTTTCTTAGTTTCCAGAAGCAACGATTGACGAAAAAACGGGCAAATTTTTAAGAAACAATATTTTACCCGTAAGAAAAAGTAGGTAAACCCGCTCGTCAGCTTTACTAAGAAAGGTTAATTATGTTTTGCAAAGTTTTCGTGAATTAAACATAATAATTAGCAATGGTTTGTGCATCGCTGATGTAAACAGTTCTAAACCGGTTTTTGTTGTGCATAAAATATGCGTACGTATATATGTGTGCGCGTGTTTGTGTGTCTGTTTTGTGTGAGCTAGAGCATCTCATTTTATAAATTCCTTTTTTCTTCTCCTTCACATTGTATGATGCATTGTTATGGAGTATTTCTTCTTTTTTTTCCTCTATTTATTTTGTTATTGTTTAATTTGCTTACTCTTGTTTTTTCGCACTTTTTCCCATGCATTCCGTTAATAATATATCAGGAAAAAAGTAATGTGCATAACTGGAAAGTGAAGGAAATAAAGAAATTTATTTTACAGTTGAATTTTTAGTGCGAAAACATCTTTCGAAAAGTTCAAGTTTTTTACTTAAAAAATTGATAACATCCCTTATCCGTAAGGTGAATGAGTAGCTGAGTGAGTGATCGACTGCCTTTGTAATGCATCTTAACATCAACTTAATCAATTAACAAAAAAGAAATGTGTGCAAATTTTCTTTACTTTACTAGTTAGTAGTTTAGTGCTGGCAGAATTTTTCGAAATAGTTTTTTGTGTATAAAATACATTAAAATGTATACATTTTCCAAAATATTCTTTTACAATTGACCTGCTTGTTGTATGTGCTGTATTTTTATATTTAATACTCTTCAATTCTATTCTCTTTATTCTATACTGTATTCACATTGTAATAGCAGCAAGTCTGGCTGACTAGCTATGTATGTACATAGATGAGCAATTAGGTATTAATTGCCTGTGATACGATTAAAATGATATAACTCCACTTTTTAACAGAATTGGATGCAACTATTTTATGGTTATTGAAGTAAAAATGATAGAAGGAATCGTAACTTTGTGAAATTTTTTACAATTAAGTTTTTATTTATACTCTAACTGGCTTATGCTGGACATTTAGTCGTTTATAGAGCCATTCACCATAGCTTTCAGTTTATCGTAATTTTATTTATGTGGTAACACAGAGGAGAAACTCTTTATTAGCATGTGACGTCTGCCTCTCCTCTCTTTGATTTTATCACGCAAAACTATGAAACATTAAATACTTGAAGTAATTTCTTTTGCTTTTTGTGCTCCCTTCGGAGAACAGTAAGTCTTGGCATTCATCAAATGCTGATTCAATGATTCAAAATGAAAAAACATCATCAATATAATTTTCTGCGATTTCACAAAAATACCTACGTTTCTTAATTATTGTTAAAGCATCATTTAGGGGTTTTGCTACCCCATTTCCAATTGAACGGCTTACAAGAGGTTTCATTAGATCATAGATAAGCTTTGTGGAAAGCGCCTTGACTATTTATGCATTTTCGAAGGATATAGCAGCGAATATCGAAAGAAATTTCGGAGACTAAGAAGAAAGAGAGCTCAAGACATAGCCCAAAAGTTGTTAGAAGTCTTTATATATATATTGTAAAGGCTATTGTTTCCATTGTTCGACGTAAAACGGAAAGCAATGGAAATTAATTCAAGAAGTTTCGTATGCCTTTATATACTCGCCATTACATAAAACAAACGTTCTATTTTTATTCCTTTGGACAATGTGACGCCTTTATGATGATGTGTTGTTATTATTGTTATATTCCATCTAGCCGTTTGGGTTATTATGATGTCATATCTTAGTCAGATGATATGTAATGTACACATATGCGTATATATGTATAAATTTAGTGCGAACAGTTCATGCAAGAGAATAAAAATGTTTTTATAAAGTCTTTATCATATTTTGATTTTATTTAGTTCTGCCCACATAAAAACAAGTACCGTTATGTTTATTTAAAAATAAAAGAATTTTTTAAATCGATAAAACTCGTTCTTTTGTTTAAATTATAGTGATGCAATGCGTGTTGTGTTTGTTCTTACATAGTTTTGCTTTGAAGAGCTTGATATACAAAAAGGATGCCCGGCATTTTTCCCTACAGCTTTTTCCGTTATATCTTAACCAGCAGGCAAACTTTTTATTCAAAATTGTTTGTCGGGATTAGCGAAAGCGGAGGGGAAAGGAGTACTTGAAGGCACATTTCATCATCCCGCTTGTATCATATTTTCTTGTCAAGTGCTTGGTACGTCGCTGGGTTTCCCAAAATTTGAAAATGAGAAGACAATTCCGTGCGAACTAAACTTTATGAAGCTCAGTTATTACTATTATAAAAACAATATGTTTATGCTTTGCTTTCATGCAGGCAAGCATATGACATATGTTGGTTTAGTCTACGATAACAGAACGGAAGGAAACAAAGTATACCGTAGTAGATAAGGACTGAGTTTTGGAAAATATTTAGAAAATAATGAAATAATTTGTGGGAATTGACTTCATAAGCAAGATTCTCCCCATTTCTAATTATATACGCATTAATAAATACATTTTTACCAGATTTTAAATCTACAAGCGAATCGGCCCTTGCGTGTGATTGTTATTGGGCTTTAATAGCAGGCAATTTTTCCAATTCTTTTACAATTTTCTAAAGGTCCATCAACTTTGTACGAACATATTGAAAACTCAGTGGGACTTAAGTTAAATTCAACTATTTTTATGCAAAACAATGAAGATTTTTTCCTCTCTATCTCGTATTCGTGTAATACGGTGATTGTTGGAAAGAAGAAAAAGGAGAGAAAGAAATAGGGAGGTAGTGGCCGCAGTCTAGAGGGTTGAAAACCCTATCGTCTTTGTGATTTGAACTGGTAAAACGCGGTACTTGCCTACGCGATTACACAGGCGCTTTTTGAATTGATTTAAGCCTATCGCTCCGTCTGCCTACCTGATCTATCAAGTTTTGTGTTCAAACTGCAGGTCCGACCGTTGGAAATATACTTGTGATATTTAGTATGTTGACTTACTTTGCCTTAGGTAAGAAAATGTGGAAAATGGTGTAGGCTGCACCATTGTCGCGACCATCCAGGATTCCACGAACAAGTCTTTGTTCAAAAAATCGTTATATTAAAACAAGCAAAAAAATTATAGTAAAACGGATATTTTAAAACAAGACGTTATATGGGTCGAAAAAGTGGTGTGACCTGAATACGTCGGTACAACAAATCGCATCAATATATCTTAAAAATTGCAATTGAACTTAAGAATGCAGATAGGATAGACGGACAGACAAGCTTACATCCATTCAGTAAGTGATTCGGCATCTATCGGTAAAGATGGGTTTTCCTCAAGTCTTTCTGCGTGTCGCATACATCCGCACAAACTCCTTGGACCGCAAATGGCGCAAGGTTACGAATATTTTCCATTCTTATCGTTTTTGGCAAATCTTGATTAAATGACATATTATATGGCATAATAAGCGAATTTGGAAAATTTTAATGGAATGGGACTATTTTCTGACTCCCCTTCTATATAGAATTTTTCCGAAGAAAGACTCTTATGGTAAAAAAAATCAAATTTGTAGTATTTTATGCCGGCAATTGTCGCGGAATCGCTACTAGGCGCACAAATATGCCATGCTGGAGTTGTGTGGCAAAGATCCAATTTTCCGGACCCCTTCCCCTTTAAGGATGCTCATGAAAAGTAAGCCTTTATGTGGCGATGGCGTATTATATATATTTCAAAATTTTATGACGAAAGTAGGTAAAGAATTGAATGCGGCGGTATAGCATTCGCGGCAAGATATTTAATAAGGGGCTTTGAACGTCTATTAGATAATAAGTTGTTTATGAGAGAAATCCACTCAGAACCGATATACTGCGATAGCTTTAGACTACTTAGATCTATTATTCGTATATATGGTCCACGTAGATCTATGTATCGGCAAGATTTCTCATGCAAAATAAAATTTTATTCGTTCCGAAAGTATAATTTTTGATATTTAGTAGTAAAGATTGCATTATGCGGTTTGGAGCAGGATATTTAATTGTCGGCCCTGCTCTATTATAACGTGTTTTTTTGTCGGTTATTGTGCTATGGGAAGAATTGAAATATTTTAATTACGTGAACTTGTATCAAATTACAGTTTCCTTCATCGGTTTTGTGCGATCGTGATAGCTCCAGCAGCAATTAAAAGAGAGACCGATAGACCAACATGCATAGAACGGCATATACATTATATTATATAATAAGCAAAATAATAAAACGATTACATTTTCACTTTTCGACGACAGATTTAAAAGGTGTAGCGAATTTTTTTAAACCACTTAAATTCTTGGTTAACAGTAAACGAATTCGGTCTGACGAATGCTTTGGCTAGGTATTAATTCACTACCTGTCGCAATTTCTAACTATTAATTTAAAATATTTTTCAAATGATATAATTTAGGTTTTTGTGATGGAAAAAGTAAAATAAGTAAGAATATTATAGACGGACAACGCTGACCATTAACTAGCCTACACCACACTGTCTAACACAATTCTTATTTTTTGTTACAGAACACAAAAATTTATATTTTGTATAAAGGCAATTTTTTCAAGTGCTTACTAATGGGGAAGCGAGCCCAAAGCGCAACCTAATGTAGTACAAGAGTAATTCATATGTAGGGCAGGATCCAAAGATAGACAAGGGTGTGAAGATAAATTCGAATGTAACTACCAAAGACACGTACCATTTCTGTTAACAAACCTCTGTTAACGACTGAACAGAGTTCTGTTCCATAATTACAATTGATATATAATTGGTTTTGAAAGACATTCCATGAATCTTTCAAATAAGCTAAGCAAATTCATATTCTGCCTATAGGGGCTATTTTTAACGGTGTTTTGAAATTTGGTATGTTAGCGAAACATGGATATGGAAGAACATGCAAATTTGAGACTCTAGTGCGGCCAAACTAGAAGATGTCGCCAAACTGTAAAAATAATTCCTGAGAGAAAAGTGTGCATTTTTTTTGCCCATTCGATAGGTACTTTCATATAGATTCACGTAATATAGCTGAATATAGGGACGGAAACTTGAGTTTGATCTTGAAAAATTGAGTAATATTAAATTATTATTATATCAATGCAGGCTGATAATTAATGCTTTCGATATTAAGCATTTACGTCGTACGTACATCACTGCCTAATGCATGAGCTTTGTGATGCCGTCGTTAAGAGAAATAGTCTTCAGAAAGCCCATAAATCGTGGCACATTTATGATTGGCCTTAGATTTAAGTTGAGTAAGTGTACGTTTCTTTGTCCTATGCAATTTCGTCGCTTTGCTGTCGTGCGTTGCGAGTTAGGAATACCCTTAATCACGTTAGTCGGGCTTCCTTCTTAAATTGGCAGACTTTTAACTGATATCTGCGTCGGACGTCATACCAATGTTTTTGGTGGTTTATAAGACCAACTTCCGTTTTTTTTACCTTTATTGTAAAAAGTCTTGCAGCTCGCCTTATGTCTATTTAACCGAGTCATAACTATGTCTTCGGGCTGCTTTCCTGAGTTTCGAGTATAGCGGAAGGGCAGAGGAACCTAAATCAAGAACTTCTTGTGAAAAAGTCTCCAAGAATCATGGTGCGCCGTCGTTATGCAAAACGCAAAGCAATCTGCTTACAAATTTGACACATAATTTCATTTCAACGACATATAACACTTTTAGTAACATCCCTAACCAAGCTTGATGCATATATGCAAGCATGATGCAATACAACACGACAATAACCAAAGCAAAAGACATTATTTTCGAGACGATAGTATATAAACACATGCATTGTAACGGTTTTTCCGAGCAGCTGTGTTTACCTCATTTGCTTTGTTGTGCAGAAACTTGCGAGCAAACCTCTCTCATTCCGTAAAGTGGGCAAATGGGATCCCCAAGCTGTTCTCTGATGAGTAAAAGAGAGAAGCTGCTGACAGTGCTCAACCGATTTTGAAAGAATGTAGCATCGAATGGGATTATTTATTGGACTATGTGTTAATTCCCGTTGACTTTTGGGGGTATTACACGGAGCTTGACGGCCGAAATTCAGCCCCTAAATAGCGTCAGCTTTATCGATTTTACGTATCATTCCAACAAGGCATTCAAAGAGATGTGTTCGGACAGAATTCTAAACTTTTAAACAAGGGAAGCCATTACTAATTTTTATGAAAAATAAGAATCAGAGAAAATAGAAGCGCTTAAGTAATCCTAAGCCTCACAGTTCAGTTGAACAATCTGAAGGAATTGGAAAGTGAACAGGACCCCGTCAATGTTGACGTCATTGTTTGCATTCTTTTTAAAAATTTTCGAAAAATCGGTTTGGCATATCGCTAAAATGGTGAGTCGCCTTTAACTGAAAGAAAAAAAAATTGGAGAAAATTGTTTGGGAAGATGCCCCAAATCCGCCCAAATAACTCGTCTACTTGCTACATATTTTAGTCATCCCGCTTAGTAATGTCACGCGCCATTTGCATTAATTTCACGAGATGGTTTGCTTTTTTCTATGTTTTTTCTCCAATAATTATAACAGCAAGAAAAGGAGAGAAAAACAAATCATGTAATTTGAAAAGATAGACATATGCGTGCCTAATATAATTTCGAAGGCTAAGTTGATTGGATCACGCCAATGCCTGTGTTTATGCAACGCCGCCGTGCACCGATGATAGTTAACGCTGTTGTAAAGACCTTGCGAAGCGTTACAGGTATCGACATATTTTTCATATGCAAACTGATCCAAATGCCATAACACATCACTATATATACATAGGCGCATATATATAAATTAAATATTTAAATAAAAATAATTGTTCCTGCTTTCAGTTCGTGATATAAATAATTGAAAAGACTTTGCATGATATCTCTCTCGCCTATATTGATAAAACTTTAGCGATTGTAAGTGATAGCGAGAGTCGCTTCTTTGCAGTGCTGCGGTGTTTTGAAAACAATTTAAGTTTTGGTCGAGCTTGAAGTAAAGTTAAATAAATTCAATGTAATTGCGATTCATGCAAGAATTCCTTTATACTTTAATGGATGCACTTGTAAAGCATCAAATACAAGGGCTGTTATGCCACATTTTAAGGTAATAGAGACTTGCGTCTCTAGGAGTGGTCCAAGGGCTCGCTGCTACCCACAGACAACCATGAAGCATGACAAAGGATCAAAATTCATTGTGCAAGTAGCCAAGCTAACGTTATAGCCACCTATAGGACCACATATTCTATTAATTTTCGCGCGTGAGTAACCGAGCAGACAAAGGATCGCAACTAACAACTCAATGGTCACGGGTTCAAATCTGAGATTTCAATACAGACGAACGTATGATCTAAGTTTTCCAGCAGCCACAGTATTTCGATAATAAGTAGATCAATACATACTCTATTAACTTTTGTACGCAACGCATAAGCATCTTCACTTACTTACAAGTAATCCTTTATTCGAGTGACTGCAAGTAATGGAAAGAAAGTACACATTACCGTTCCTTTTCTACTTTTTCCCTTCAATCTCTCCTTCCGCTTGTGCTTCACTTCCACTTCAACTGCTTTCCTCTCTCACTTGCCTATTCTGTCATTCTATTTCTCACTGTTCCACTCTTTCTCTTTCACTCTGTCTCTCTGCAATATCTTTTTGTGAGAATGTATTCCTATGAACCTATGAATTACTGGGCACGCTACCTTGAAGTACGTAGTTGTACACATTGCGCTTAAATATACGCGTATGCGTGCGCATCACGCCCTTAATTTTCAAAATATGAGGTGCTTGTACGTGTTTGCATATGCATGAAATCTTCACTGAGTGTAGCAATATATATGTAGGCGTGAAACTTTGAATTTTGTTGCCCGCATTTACGTTGACAAGAGAGACAATTATGTACGTTCCAGCTGCTTAGTGCATTGCATTATTGCATATGGAGGCATTGTGTTTTTCTCTTGAATCCATTTCGCATTCCTTAGCTGAAATCACTTTTGTGGATAGTGATCCTCTGCTTTCTGTCGTACTAAGCTTTACTCATCCACATTTCTACTTCTACTCCCCTGTAATTAGATAGAATGAAGTCATTGTCGCTAGACTAAATGGAATTTTTAGGAGCAATATGATGATCAAGGTCGTCTTTCGAAAAGGTATACGGCCTCAGTAGAATGAAATCGTCAAGTTTCCATCCTTGGAAAGCAGTGACGCCTGCATTAGAGAGAAATTAAAACATTAATGCTTCTTTTAAAAGTCACATTATTATCAACCTCTTGGTTCCGCTATATTTTTCCGCTTTCTTTCCTGTTGTTCGTTTTTCTTTCCATCGTTTAATCGATGAGCAATTGTGGACTCAGTATTAACGGAATCCGTAATCCGTTGAAATGTTAACCTATCTGATCAAATCTTCACACCTTATCACTATCCTGCAATGTACGCCACTATGGGAAGTGGACATAAGACATTTGCCATTCCTTTTTTATTACCCAGAAAAAGGGTATCAGAAACTCTACAAAATGATAAGTAATATAGGGCCCTATAGGGTCTGTCTGTGGGTTGTTCCTAATTGGAACGCTTACAAAGTGACTAACTTGTTCATAAGCATGAGTGCAATAGAGACTACGTAACGAACTCGAGATCATAGATCCACAACGTTTATGAAAAAAGAAGCGCAGAGGTTTAGATGTTTGTTGCTCACCAGCAAGAAGACACAATCATGTTACGATTCTAATGTAAGGTGCGTGTCAGTTGATGGGTATCATAAAGGTCTATTATGAATTCCATGGTGTTTTTCTTTTCTGCAAGTCTCTTCAACCTTTGATCATATACTTCTTTGTTCTTTTCCTTTCTTGTTTCATTTCTTTACCGCGCTTTTCTTCTTTCTTTCTTGTTGTTGCTGTAATATATGAATAAAAGAAATTAAAACCAAAGCATTCAGACCATTTCTGTCTTAAGGTAGCTGACAACTACTGTTTATTGTAACGTGTCAGAATCGTTCTGTGCGGTACAAACACAAATGAAAAAAGGACTAGGAAGAAAAGGAGAATATGTCACCATATAGTAAACGTATAATGCGTAAAAAAATCATTTTGATCATCTCGGTAGCTTACAACAGCTATTATCTGCCGTCATTTGTTGAGAACTAAATTCACCAGCATGGGGCCTCATAAGTGCTTAATATAAAGCATTTTTTTTTTTTTTTGATACGGCGCGCTTTTTTTGAACCAACTCTAATACGATCACTGTTACTTTGAATGGGTTGACGCATCTCCGTCTTTCTTCTGTATATACATATATATATATATATATATATATATATAAAGTAATGTTTTTTACTGATTTTTTTCCATTTTTTCATTTACAAACCACTTTAATGTCAGAGTCAAAAACCCTGTCACACATGTGCATGTTGCATAAAAAAATTAAATAAAGAAGAAGAAGAAAAAAGCATAACACCCAAAATCACATTGTTTTTTCTTTTCTCTCTCATTTTCATTAAAAAAAAAGAAAAATATATATATATATATATTTTTTTTTTATTAATGCTTCAACAATTTTGTTGCACAGCGTGTGCTACGCCAAATGTGAGTGAACATAGAGAATAAGCTGCGTTTTAAATCATATTTTCATGTATGCTAGTTAGCACATGTACTGTAAGCAAGTGGAAACGAGCGAGCGAGCATGCATGTATATATATATACATATGTGTGTGTGTATGTGTTTGGTGTGTGCGGAGTGTGTTTTGTGGTTTATTTTAATTGAGGTCATTTACCCACTTGATTATGATGTTGTTGTTGCTGTAATGTTTTTTTTTTGAATTAAGAGAAAATGTCATATGTTTCGTGGAATTTCTTTACTTTCTTTCAAATAAATTCTAATTCTGTTGATTTTCTTTCTCTTTTTTGTAGATTTTCTTTCTATATGCGAGTATTCCAACCTCAACATTAACATCATCAACAACAGCACGGTGTAGAGAAACGAAAAAATTGAAAAAAGAAAAAAATCTACATATTTTAAATTTTTATTTTTTTACTTTTATTTTTATTATTGAATATTTGTTTTTTTTGCTTGGGACTACAAATGAGTTTAAAAGTGAATTTGCTGAACTGAAGGTAAGTGTCGTTCGTTTATATGATGTAGCACAATACACATGCATTTTATATGTGAGAAATGAAAATTCTGAAAAATTATGTTATAAAAATCGAAAAAAACGGTTTTTTTCCTTTTTTTTTTTTTTTTTGTTTAGAAATGAAAGTTTTTTTTTTCTTTTGTACATTTGCATATGCATGTAATGTTAGTTTGCTAAGCAAATGCCTACAATTACAGATGCATTGGACTTAAGCCAAATGAGCATTTGAATATAACACATACGCGCCCGCGCCCGCACTCGCACTCGCGCGCGCAAAGAATATATACACATGCATATACGCGCTTATGCATATATACGCATCATCTTACTCACACAATAGCATGCGTGATATACATTGTAAATATATCACTAATACAGTTATACACCATTTTACAATAAAAGAGCAAAGTTTATTCGGCCAAAAAACAATTGATAGCCTATAGTATATAGATTAGTACCTTAGTATGTGTGTGCATGCCAGCTATTTTTCGTTACAAAATATCTAAGTAGATAAGAGATTTAATTTTTTTTTTTTTTTTTTTTTTTTTTTTTTTTTTTTAAATTGCGAAATAAAACATTTTTCTTTCTATTTACATACATTTGACATTTAGAAGAACATTTCTTTGACTCGTTGTTAATGGCGTTGATGTTCACTCGAGATATACTGTTATAATAATGTTGTTAGTTAACATTGTGACCATCATTAACACCACTTGATAACTTATCAATGTAATGGGGAAAATCCCAGAGTATCGACTAAAATTAGAAAGCAGATCCGCCTAACAATTCTGGTTACTAATAAACAAAATTGAAGGTTATGCATAGAAACGATAGCTCTTCAGATATTTTTTTTTGTATTTCAGATTTATAGTTGAAAGTGCTTTTATATTGCTATTCTCATGATTAAAAGCGGGCAGACTTAGACATCTCCCAACGTGTACACATGCATTAAAGGCGGCTTTGCTTTGCTTTTTAATCGTGGAAACTGTGGAAGCTGTGCAAATCCTTTAGCGAAGATAGTTTCCCAATTTTCGCAAACTACTTGTAAAACGATAGCAACAATCTTCACTTTTAAAGGCGCGGACAGACGGAAGAAAAATGTTTTGATCGTTTTACAACCCAAACCATTCCTTGAATGTGGGAACTCTGAGTGGAGAAAAGCACGAATTTGCTTAATATTTTTCAGTTTATTAGGTTATCTTTTGTGGTCCCATTACTAACATATTTCGGTTTACATCCCAGAAAACACTTGCCTCCCCCCCGACGCACGAAATAGATTTCGTACCCGGGTTAGTCGTTTGATGGCTTTTTCTTTTATATACTGTCAAAGTTTCCAAAAATACCGAGAAAACACTGAGAGAGACTGAATTCTTATTGTTTTGCATTTGCTAACACAAACTATTTAATCAAGACAAAATACTAAATCGATTTAGCCACGGCCGGATGGGCCTGTTCCACACAGATTTGCCCATTTGATCGTCGACCTTTGTACTTAATCGCTCTATAGTCTGCTGGGATACTCTTAGGTGCGAACAAATTCAGATTGAATTCTTCAACTTGGCAAGTATGTTTGTTCTTGATTCATTTTGTTTTTTTCTTTTTTTTTAATATAAACAACCATTCAACGGATGTTCTCGTTAAGGAGGTGATGGCCACAGCTTAATGGACGTGTACCCAATCGATAAGCGTTTCGCCTTCAACGACCGTCCGTCAACTAGAGAGATATGCGATCAAGGTAACGCTGCTGTGCTTGAGATTTGACCGCGACTACAAAATCGCGGTTCTCTACCTCTTCGGATACCCAGGCAGATAAGCATGGTTGCCTTTGGTGAATGAATCCAAACAACTGTCATCAGGCCATAACTAGGTCCATAAAATTTAAGAATCTGTAATCCAACTTCTCTGCATCCATATTGAATAGGGGCGTCCTGTATATCTTTTTCGGTTTGTAGTAACTTCGAGGTCCCACACACTTTCTTAATTACAGTTTGATTTGGTTTGATTTGATTTTGTTCTTTTTTTGTCCCTCTTTACGCTTTTCTTCAACTATTATTGAAGCAATACTGGCCAACAGAAATCTGAATATTATCGCATAAATAAATTTATTACTAAAAGAGCAGAAAAGTTTGCGCGACAATAGGCAGAAGAGTCCTTAGTTATAAAACTTGGCATGTATTTATAGGGACCATTAAACACGTAATAAAGGTACAAGTAGACACGATCAGGATAGTTGGTCTTGATCCGTCAATTATTTAAAGGGTAGCAATAAAGGGAATCCGGTTCGGGAAAATGCTTGTAATGTTTAAAACATGAGTGCAAGAGGAAGGGTATTAAGGATTCGTTTTACGATGTACCTAATTGTGTTACTTGCAAGAAAAAGTAGTTCTTTACCGTCTTTGCAACGACACTCAAGTGGCCGTCTGCATTTAATTTTTATATTATTCCACGTAAATTATACTGTGTATGTTCTTCTATGACATATGTGGCGCCAATTTCGTTTCTTGGGCACCTTTTGACGCGCAATATCAAGTTGCGCACATTCTTTCTTTAATTTGCTTTTCATATGAAAATATACATAACTTTTTAAGGCATGCACGTATTTGTGTAGAAGAAAGCCTAATAAAATTAATCCAATGTGGCCATCAAACAGCATTACCGTAAATCGATTTCTTATACATTTATCTATAATACGCACTAAAGGTGTAAAAAATACAGGGAGATAGTCAGTTTAATTTAATTAATCGAAAGCAAAAGTTGACGAGATCAGCTGATAGATTGAAACGGCAAAAGGGCAACAGAACACCGAGTTGCTAAGATCCCGTATATTCTTCTTTTTCTCCTCTATCCACATGGCTGGCCCAATATGTAAGAATAGTAAAGTTGTATTCGCGGGTTCAAATCTCAGTGCGCTAGAGCATAACTTGGATTTAGTTATCGTGAGTGGTGGCTCGATGAGGGCATAATGTTTATCGATTGTGCACACAAGCAAAGCACGCCAGCTTGCTAAATATCGTAAGTACATCTTAAAGGCTCGGACCTGCAATGTGAACACAAAAACTCATTGGTAGACAGACGGAGCAGAGCGGAGCGGTAGGCTTAAATCAATTCAAAGAACGCCTGAGTAGCTGAGTAGATAAAAATCGCGACTAACAGGTCAGCGTTTTGCGAGTTCAAATCTCTAGCATGGTATGGCTTCCTTTCATCGTTGCTGTAGTGAGAGCAAAGTCGGTAAAGGCATTGGGTACAAACCTACTAGACTGCGGCCGCTTCCCTATCATTTTCACTTCTCCTCTTTTCTTTTTGACAGATACCGTATTTGACGAGTAGGGGGCAACCATTAACTTGAAGGCAGGCACACTTACATAATAACATGCCGTCTTAAAAGCATTTCTCAACAAGAGTATTTTTTAGAAAACGAAATTCGTGTAAAAAAGCAAAATCTGACGTACGTGCAACTGTTTAAAGATAAATTAGATAGATAGATAAGATCGACAGTTGCATTCACAAAAACTTAATTTAAAAGTATTAAAGACCTTTTCATTTATGTTAAATTTAAAAGAAAAAAAGAATTCATTAAACAAAAAAAAAAAAATTTTTTTTTGCAACATTTGGTTTCGCTCAAAAAGAAGAAAATTTATAAACAGCCAATTGAGAATTGTTGGCAATAAAGTCAGTCAAGCACTCACTAAAATGTAAAAAACTAGAAAAATGAAAAACAACTAAATTCGTGAAAAATTTAGCATGTGCTGAGTATCTTATGTTTCCTGCAATCAATTCAAAATAAATGCAAAAAAAAAAAAAAATCAAAGGAAAAACACAAAAAATGTAAAGAATTCTATACAGGGTGTAACAATAGCCCACAATAGCGAGGAAAAACTTCCTTAGAGATTTTCGGATTATTAGACAAATGGCGGCAACAAGGGGAAGGAAGCATTTGTTTGCGATTCAATGATTTATCACAGCATTTCTATTACACACTTAAAGACTTTAATGGACTTTATTTCCATTTCCTTAAAAAACAAAAAAAAGAAAAAAAGATGAATAACTTTACCTTATTTGCTTTTTGATTTTTAAGTGTGGATGGGCTTAACAGGCAGAACTTTATCTGTTCAATTTATTGATAACTCATATAACTCCGAAGCTTATACACGAGCCATTACATATTCATTATTACATCCTCCATCGCCGATGGATGAGAGGTATATTCGTTTTGTCAAAATGTTTGCAACGCAAAGCATTAAATTCTCAATCGGTTTAAGCATGTCCGTCTGTCTGTCTGTCTGTTTGTAGTAAACATTGTTCTGTTCGCAAAAATAAAGCTATCGGCTTCAAATTTGCCGCAAAGATTGGAAGTTGATTCCCTCTCAACCCGTCGAATCTGTATCGGTACATGCTCTTTTCTTCTATTTAGCTTTGTTTATTTGTACATGAATTTTATGTTTTTTTTCTTCACATACTTTACTTTATAATGATTATTATTAATACTTGGCATAAGATTTATTTCCAAGAGTCAGCGAAATTCGATTGTGTTATAATAATTCGCTTTAGCTGAATTTGATATGTAAATAAATAAAAACACGTTGGATTAACGTTAGCTATTCCATGAAGAAGTTAGTGCCACCTGTGCGCTATAAATTGTTCGAATTTATTTTTATCAAAATCCAAACACATAAAGCAATAGGTAAACCGTTGTAGTAAACATTGAATAGAAAGTAGGATTTTAGATTAACGGGCGGGCTGATGTCATAAGCCAAACAAAAGCAAGACCAGACTTGTGATAATCTTACCTAGATGTAGTCAGTCTTGCACTGCACCTTGTTTAACAAATGCTTTGATTAGACTTTAACTAGACGCTAGAGATAGACGCTATTGTAACATTCATAATTCATACTTATCTCGCTTACTTATCATTAATCACGTTTGCAATCTTTCAGAGAGAGACCGACGCCATCCAAAAATATTAATTGATTATTAAGTCACAAA